GTCAAAAAATTGTTAAAAAAAATTGTTAAAATATCATCATCCGAAAGAAAAAGACAATATACTGGTCTAAAGGCCTCTTAATTATCTCACATTTTCCACTTGTGGTGTTCAGATGGTGGGTCTGCTGACAGCCAAGCTCACAATAATGTGTTGAATTTGGTAATCAATGAGTTTGGCCTCCTTCCACTCAATAAAGTAATCAAATGATTGTAAGCATATTACCCTTTTCACAGTAATGTGATGCACAATTCTAAAGGATATCTCCATACTTTACAGTACTTGAGATTTATTTTAGGTGCATACATAAAACTAATTTAACTATGCAACAATTGAAATATGTATTGTAATTATCATCCTTCAACTCAGCTAAATTAATTAATATCAAACTCAACTATTAAAAAAATTGGATTTGAATTGTATGTTATATTAATTTAATTTTTAAAAACTCAATTGTTCTTAGATAAGACTGTTAAAATTAAATTGGACCATAAGTTATAGTTAAAATTAAATGAGGTATATTATTATTCAAACAGTTCGAATAGTTGAATTATAGTTTTGTTTAACAATAGTTTAGTTCTATTTTTACATTTTGTCCATCCCTAATTGCAACAACGCCTGCAACAACAATTTCTATAATACAATCACAATTTAGAACCTAACTAATTAATCGACTTAATTTTTGTCAATTGAAAATCTTTATGTTGAAAGGGTTATCCGATACAATGAGAAATATAATTGGTACAACGTTAGAAATAATTTAGAAAATATATTTTGTGTAGGTTAAATTTTACTTAAGATTATAAAACTTTGTTAATTCAACAATCATGATGATTTATTCTATTTTTAAGGTGTCACCAGAGGCATATGAAAATCAAAACTATATGCATTTTGCTTACATATGTCTATTAGATCCAATGAAGGCCTTGTCAAATTTTAAAAAGGCATCTTTCTTTACTTATGTACAATATATAAAATATTATGACACAATTTCGAAATTAAAATTTAATTTTAAAACTTATATTTATAATTTTTTTATATATTACTCAAACTTCTCATTTTTAATTTAATAAGAATTTTAACTATTATGAATGTTAGTCCATGATAGTCTTTTATTCAATTTTCAAATGTTAAGTATGGAATAATATGAAATATTGTTTCCCTATAAAAGGGGGCTGCAAAATTAAGATCATTAAGGAAATCAATCACTTAAAGAATGAAAAGAAATTAATGATTATAAAGTACTAACCAATTAAAAGAAATAATCAATAGTAAGTAAGGAGTTTTGGACATAAAAAAAATAACATATTATGATTGAAGGCTGTAATTTGCCAAAATATTATATTCTGCAATTGGAAAGTGGAAAAATTAAACGTAATGCAGCTGAGAGAATGGCTTTTGGGTTATAATAAAACATGTTGTCATTAAAGATTAATTAAATATATATCAGGATCAAAATGTATAATTTTAAAGCATTTTACAGTCTACTTTGGAAGTTTTACTCATCTCTATGAGGCTTTAGGTCAAGATCCGTTTCAACGTTCTAAACTCTCGCAGATATGTGCTGAATTCTTTCTGTGGCCTCCGGAGGGAACAGGTTCTTCAACGACTTTAACATACCTCCATTACATTTCTCAATCATCTCTCCATTACTTTTCCACTTTTTCTGTCTTCCTCTCTCTAAAAGTAATGTATATTTCACGACTACTTAAACACATGGGGTTTTATTCTTGTCCCCTAATCGAAGTCTCTCCGGATTGGTTCTGCTTTATAAGAAATTTCACCAAAATCGTACTTGTTTTGTTTGATTAATTCTTTAATGTTCTTTAGTTTTATGTTTCAGTTATGTCTTCCAACGAAGAGGTAACGATCCCTTTGAAATATTGGGTGGACGATGACAAAAAGCGTGTAATTGTGGCAGAAGCAAGTGGGGATTTGGTAGATGTTCTCTTCAGTTTCCTCACCCTTCCATTGGGAACTATTATTAGGCTTGGAAACAAATTGGATCAACATATAGAGCTTGGTTGCATCAATAAGCTGTACGAGAGTGTTGATAATTTGAAATCTAATGATTTCTGGAACAACGTCTGCAAGAAAATGTTGCATTCTCCGCGCAACCCGTTAGAGAGCTCTTGCCAAAGACTGAAAGTGAAAGTGGATGATACAGAACCCACTAAGTATTTCGTGTGTTACAGCTGTTCAAAGGAAAAGGATGATAATTTAATTTATATCTTAATTTAAGATCCTATTATGTGATTTAGTTATTTCAGAAAAAAGGGGCTCGGTAAAAGAGCATCTTTGTTCACATAATGCTCAAAAAACCACAGTGCACTAGTACAAAATGGGCTTTTAAACTCGCACAATAGACCTCGGTTTACACCAAACCGCTGTCTATTCAGACACGGTGGCAGTTTTGTAATTAACGAGACCTTATAGGCCTCGGTTCAGATTTGACCGGTGCCAAAAAGGGTTACTACTTCGGTTGTGAAAGCAACCGGTGCCAAATTAGTGAGTTTCTGACCACGGTTAAAAAAATCGGTACCAAAAAGGGGGGTATACTGCAGCGGTTGGGAGAAGGGACCAGGCCGTATCAGCCTCTACTGCCTCGGGCCAGAAGGAACCGAGGCATTATAACCCTCTTATTTCCCCCAAATATTTTCCCCAGTGAACGAAACCTACCCTCCATCTCGGCTCCCTCGCTCTCGCGCCTCCCTCCCCTCACCTCGCAATCCCTCTCGCTCTCACGCCTCCTCACTCGCTCCCTCCGCTCTCGCGCCTCCCTCCCTCACCTCGCCTCCCTCCCACTCTCGCGCCTCCCTCCCCTCACGCGCCTCCGCGATCTCGCGCCTCCCTCCCCTCACCTCCCTCCGATCACACGCTCTGGCGCGCCCGTCGCTTCTCGCGCCATCACCCTCCTCTCGCCGCCTCACGTCGCTCTAGCGCCTCCCCTCGATCTCGCGCATACCCGCTCATCGCGCCTCCCCTCGCGTCTCTCGGCCTCCCTCGCTCTGGCCTCCTCGCTTCGAGCCTCCCCTCGCTCTCGCGACTCTCTCCCCTCGCTCTCGCCCGGTTCACTCTCTCGTGGCTCGATCACGTCGATCTCTCGGTCTCCAAAAATCTCCTGCTAGGTGGCGTCGCCTCTGGAGGGAAAAAGAGCAAGCGGTGGTGAGTGCGTCAATGGTGGCGGCGGTGATAGTGGTGGTGGTGGATGGTCAGATTAGGGTTTTTCTGATGGTGATGGTGGTGGGTGCGAATAGAGATTAGGGTCAGATTGGGGTTAAAATTAGGGTCAGATTAGGGTTTTTTTGAATCTGATTTTGTTTTTACTTGCTTCTTGGAATCTGAGATTGGAGTAAAATTAGGGTCAGATCTGATGTTGTCAGGTGTTAAACTTTTCTGTGTTAATTGCTTGAGGCACCAAAAATTAAATCTTGTGTTAATTGTTTTATCATTTTCAGCAATGTAATGTGTCAGATCTACAAAAAAGGGAGGGGTGAGGTTTTGGCTTAATATGATTCTCTGCTTGTTCAAAAAAAAAAAACCCTACTGATAATGCATAACCAAATAAAAATAAAAAAAAAGACCCTACGGCCTCGGTTTTAGCCTCCCAACCGAGGCAATAAGAGTTAGTAGAAGTTTTAGAACGTTTAGAAGTAGAGTAGAAGGAGAGAACAAACCTCGGTTCTTGAAACCGAGACCGAAACGTACCGTTTTTTGTCTCGTCCACAACCGAGGCATAAAGTTGGTCACTTTTTACCTCGTCTGAATATGCCTCGGTTCAAAAACCAGTGCCTATTAGCGAATTTAACCGGTGCCATTTCCTTTAAATGTACTAGTGGTGCTTCCATTACAATTATCATGGGCATGCTGCTACAGTGGAAACTGGAAACTCCTAGAAGAGTCGTCCGACATCGAGAATTCCCACGCAGTCCGCCAATCATTACTTATCAACGGTGGTTAAATGAATATTTTTATATAAATTATATTTTTGATGTTGTGATCTTGCAGGCATTAAAGCACTTACATTTCGTTCATGACACATTCCAATATGATTCTCCAAACGGCCGTTCGGGGGAAATCAGAAAAATGGCTTCAGAAATCTCCGCTCAATGTAGGAAGTCAGAAAAATGACTCCTGCCTCAGCCGCTCGGGGAAGTCGGGAAAATAGCTTCAGAAATCCCCGCTCAACGCAGGAAGTCAGAAAAATGACTAATCCTCACTCAATGCAGGAAGTCAGAAAAATGACTCCTGCCTCAAGCCACTCGGAGAAGTAAGAAAAATGACTTCAAAAATCCCCGCTCCACGCAGAAAGTTAGAAAAATGACTCCCGCCTCAAGCCGCTCAAAGGGAAGTCAGAAAAATGGCTTCAGAAATCCCTGTTCAACGTAGAAAGTCAGAAAAATGACTCTTGCCTCAAGCCGCTCAGGGGGAAGTCAGAAAATAGCTTCAGAAATCCCCGCTCAACGCAAAAAGTCAGAAAAATGACTCCTGCCTCAAGCCGCTTGGGGGGAAGTCAGGAAAATGGCTTTAGAAATCCCCGCTCAACGCAGGAAGTCAGAAAAATGACTCCTGCCTTAAGCCACTAGGGGGAAGTAAAAAAAAAGGGCTTCAGAAAATACCCGTTCAACGCAGGAAGTCAGAAAAATGACTGTGCCTCAAAGCCCTCGGGGGAAGTAAGGAAAATGCATCAGAAATCCCTGCTCGACGCAGGAAGTCAGATAAATGACTCCTACCTCAAGCCGCTCGGGGGAAAGTCAGGAAAATGGCTTCAGAAACTCCCGCTCAATGTAGGAAGTCAGAAAGATGACTCGTGCCTCAAGCCGCTCGGGGAAGTCAGGAAAATGGCTTCAGAAATCCCCACTCAACGTAGGAAGTCAGAAAAATGACTCCGGCCTCAAGCCGCTCGGGGAAAGTCAGGAAAATGGCTTCAGAAATCCCCGCTCAATGAAGGAAGTCAGAAAAATGAATCCTGCCTCAAGCCACTTTGGGGGAAGTCAAAAAAATGACTTCAAAAACTCCCACTCAACGAAGGAAGTCAGAAAAATGACTACTGTCTCAAGTCGCTCTGGGGGAAGTCACAAAAATGGCTCTTCAGAATCCTCGTTCAACGCAGGAACTTCGAAAAAGAACTCTTATCAATATCAACTACTCACATGTTCAACTTTGTCATGTTCAAATGCCTTTTCATTATAAAAACAAATATTGAAGCATTTACTCAACATGTTCAACTTTGTCATATTTTTTTTGGAGTGAAAATCTCTTGTAGAGGAAAAAGTGTCAAAGAGAACTCTTAGTATTTTCTGTTCAGTCTAAGGAACAGGTCCAAGAGAACTCCTAGAGTTCGTCGCTCGGTACATAGAGCAATGAAAACTTAAAGCATCGAAGATAGACTTCCTAAAGACCTCTTTTAAAGCTCATAATAATCCATACGCACCTCTTTTAATAAAGAGCTTGGTCGGACTTGGGGGGCTTATGTACTATATGAAATATACCGATCGGAGTTTAATGGTCATCATGGGCAATTATCAGGTATTAATAGGCAGATTACCTTACGCTCTACAAATATACGGTTTGTTTTTAATTTTGATTATTGAGTTTTGTTCCTTAAAATTATACTGCACTGATAACTAATCAATGGAATTGACTGTCACAAACTCTATAAATAATACAATTGATGTCAGGTACAATCATATTCTTCTATCCTAATGAAATATACACCTCTTTATGAAACATATCTCACTTGAGCATCGGAGTGTCTTCTGCAGGTCAACCACCAATCGGGAAGAAATACTTGAAGAGTTGGTCGATCGGAACATAGTAAGAAAGGACGACCGACCTTCGGACAAACGTTACCGAAAAGAGTGTTGGACATAAAAAAAAAAACATATATAATGGAAGGCTATAATTTAAAGGTATCCTAAACTAGTTGCCAAACTTTTTTTCTTTTTCTGAGTAAAGTCATGAGCAAGAGGAAGAGCAAAATAAAGAATAAAAAAGTGAAACAATTGCTCTAAAACTGTATGGTGACAAGCTATGTGATTCTACTTTTATCGTTTGTTACTTGAATATTGACACCTATATATCTTTAATTACAAATTACTTCTTGCTATGAGGTCTAGTATCAGCCAACCAATAATGTGTTAACTTTGTAATCATTATTGCCATTGTTTATACATTATTATATCCTTCTGCCATTAAAGTTGAAAAATTAAACGTAATGCAGCTGAGAGAATGATTTTTTGGGTTTAATAAAACATGGTGTCATTAAAGAATTAATTAAATATACTATCAGGATCATGAGTGTATAATTTTAAAGCATTTTACAGTCTACTTTGGAAGTTTTACTCATATCTATGGGCTTTAGGTCAAGATCCGTTTCAACAGTTCTAAACTCTGCATGATATGTGCTGAATTCTTTCGTGCCTTGGGAGAAAACACTCAACGCTCAAACTTATTTAGACATACTCAAATTTTTCTTACACTGGGAACGAACATTTTTTTTTTTTCTTTAGTTTAATACTTTGTTATACAATGTTGATGGTCGGGAGAAGTAGTTGACCGATTTACCCTTGAATTAAAATCAATTTATTCAAAAAATGATAACAACTCTTACAATTTCACTTTAATTACACTCTTTGAAAACCACTTTTTTTCTTCCAGCTTCTCTTACAAAGTACTAACCTTCATCATTTACGACTTATCCTTAAACATACATGGGTTATAATTCTTATTCCTATCGGGAAATCACCCAAGCAACGATTGGTCTGCTTGGTATAAGAAATTTCACCAAAAATCGTACATGTTTTGTTTGATTAATTCTTTAATGTTCTTTAGTTTTATGTTTCAGTTATGTCTTCCAACAAAGAGGTAACGATCCCTTTGAAATATTGGGTGGACGATTACAAAAAGCGTGTAATTGTGGCAGAAGCAAGTGGGGATTTGGTAGATGTTCTCTCAGTTCTCACCTTCCATTGGGAACTATTATTAGGCTTGGAAAACAATTGGATAACATATAGAGCTTGGTTGCTCAATAAGGCTGTACGGAGAGTGTTGATAATTTGAAATCTAATGATTTCTGGAAACACGTCTGCAAGAATAAATGTTGCATTCTCCAGCGCAACCGTTAGAGAGCTTGTTGCAAAGACTGAAAAGGAAAGTGATGATACAGAACCCCTAAGTTTTCGTGTGTTACAGTGTTCAAAGGAAAAGAGTTGTTGCTGAGTACATTGATGTTTGCAAGCGCAATTGCTGGAAAATGGATGAGAAAAGAAACGGTTGCTGGAAGAATCCAAGGAAGAGCAGGTAGGGACAATGGTGCTTTTGTTAAATCAGATGCCATGTTCTTGATCTTGGATGACTTGAGAGTCCTCCGAAGCTCTGTTGGTGACTCTGTCTAAACGTTTCTCCAGCATCGACACAAAGACATCAGCAACCTCACAGAAAGTACTCAAAATGTTGGCATCAAGGAGGTAATTGTTTTTAATACATTTCTAATCAAACTTGTAATAAAAAAATAAGGTAAAAATTGTTGGAGTTTTAACCCTTCGTATTTTTTTGAGAGTATGTTTCAGTCGCGTGCCCTTAAAATATTGAGCATGAATATGTATCAGGGAAAGAAATAGGATTTGATATGTGGATGGAGAAAATACTTTGGATATTGAAATGATTATTTTGTGGTCTAAAGTTATATTTTCGGTTGAAGACATTTTTCTGATTTGCTCAACTGATAACCTTTCTAGACTTCCTTAATTAGCATGGTTTTGGTTGTATTTTCAGATATTGAGCATACTAAAGCAATCCTTAATCTCCAAATCTCCTCTGAGTGATGTATTATTGAAAAATGAAGAATATAAGAAATCTCCAGATCTCCAAATCTCCAAATATTCCTCACAATATACTGGTCCCATTCATTCCAAAGGTCATGNGGTCCCATTCATTCCAAAGGTCATGTAAAAGTCAAAGTAATGGTGAGCAAATCAAAGAACAAGATTTTATTTGCTGAAGTAGATGGAGATTTTGTTGACCTTCTAGCCAGCTTCCTGACAACACCTATTGGATCTATTGTGAAGCTTATGAAAGGAAAATTGTGCTTGGGAAGCATTCGTAACTTGTACAAAAGTGTGAAGCGTCTCAATCCATCATGGTTTGTAAGATCATCTAACGAATCTTTAAAGAATATAAAGGTTGCTCCTCATTTTGGTTGTAAGAGCAATCCATTAGAAGAGGACGATTCTCCTGAATATTGGTATGGCCCTGTAGTGGAGAAAGATAATGAGGGGCGTACAATGATTTCAAAGAGAAAAGAGTTGTTACGAGATCCAAAAAAAGTGAAACTTTTTGACCCAAGATGTTCTGATGGAGCAAGAGAACCTCCTGTGGGATTTATGAAGAGGCCATGTCTGTTTGTTGTGAGCGATGATCTGGAAGTGAAACCAATGACAAGTGCTTCTAGCATTTCGCATTTGAAAGAGCTTGGAATTGTGAAGTTGAATGATTTGGAGGAACATTTTATTAAAGTCAGAAAGTCACATGAGGTAATATTTTCAATCAACTCTTTATACTTGTTCAACCACAATATTTATGGTTTTAATTAATCTAATAAAATAAATGGCTATAGTAAACTGCGTACAACATTTCTTCCTTTTCAATTCATTATTGACATTCATTGTATCTATTTTGGTCAGGCACTAGACCTTTTGAGGGTTTCTTTGACATCCAATGAAGCTGCTTTGACAAAAAGCCTATTCTCTCAATTCTTGATATGTCAAAGATGCATCCCTTGCTGGGGTGTATTGGGAAGTCGACACCAAATTAAAAACGAAATAAAAAAGGTAGAGAAAGTGGTACCAGGTAAAAAAAGGCATGACGAAAGAGAAAAAGATAAGAAGGAAGTGAAGTAGAAACGAAAAGGAGGTACAAGAGACAATAGGTGTATGTTATTGATAAATTCTGAAAAAGTCATGAAGAAATTAAGCCTAAACTGACGAAGATCGGAAATGGGTGTTCAAGTGCATTGTTGTAATATATTGATGCGTGAAATAGTCATGTTCAAGTGAATTGGACGACTGTGTAACATTTAATACAAATTTGATTATTGAATTAAATTACAAAGCTATACAAATAACTAATTTAGAAAAACATTGCAAGGTTTTTAGCTCGAGTTTTGCAACGAAATCTCATATTTTTCCAATATATGCAAAAACAATAACAGGTCTAGATAAATTTATCAAATGTAATAAACAACCAATAATTTCAGAATATTTATGAGAAGAAATATCTTCCCTTAAGTTTTTCTTTAATTTAATAAATGGGTACGTTAAAACTAGTTTAACATCAAAATAATTCAATTTCTTCAACAGTTTTTCTACCTGAGATTATGTTAAAATAATATCATCATCTTTCTTTATAACTTAATACCCATAATAACATCTACAAGACTGAGGTCATTCATCATATTATTAGATAACAAATATTTTGCATCCTTTAAAAGTAGAAAAAAACACCATCATCATATTGTTTTTCATTCTCATATTTATCACTATTATTAATATGAAAACCATACGAAAGAATAATACGATCAAATTTTTCATGTCTTTACTTTGATGTTTGTTTTAATAAAGACTTAACAAGTTTACATACTTTATTTTATTTTCTTAGCTTTATAAAGTCCTCAGGTTGTTTCATATATATTTTCCTTTTAAATCACCATTTAAAAAAGTAGTTTTAAAATCTATCGATAAATTTGTAATACAAGAGCAATCAAAGAAGTCTTGCCTAATTAGTTTTTTTTTTTTTTTCTAAAAATCCGTTTACATCCAATACTTTTACTACCAGGAGCAAGATCAGTTAAAAACCAAGTCTTATTTACTGAGAATTCATTTTATTATTAATAGTTTCTTTCCAAAATGAAGCATCAATAGATCTTAAGTTTCATCATAAGTTTTAGAATCATCCTCAAGTAAAAAAGAATAAAAGTCAAGACCTAAATCTTTAGCCTTTCTTTTTCGTTTTAGAAAAACAAAACTAAAAGCATCACAAATAACATTATCACTAGAAGGCAAACCAATATTAGATGTATCACAAAAAGTTTTAGTCAATTTATCTTTTAAAATAAAAATATTTTCTAAAAAACAACACCTTTAGATTCCACAGTAGTATTGTTAGAAATTTCACTCACTTCATAACTAAGTAATGTTATGCAAAGAATAACCACTTAAAACATAATCAAATGTTGTAATTCTTATTTTTCTTTTCTTATAAAGAAGTACACTAACCTTTGCCAAACATTCTCACACTTTAAAATATTTTTAAAAAGGTTATCTTTTTTCTTCCATAACTCATAAGAAGTTTTATCACAATCTTTATAAAGAACTATATTGAGAATATAGTAAACAGAATATAAAGCTGCACTCCATATATTTTTAGGCAAAGTAGAACTTGTAAACATGATATTAGTCATATCACAAGCAAAGTTCTATTTGTTCTTTCAACTACACCAATAGATCGAAGACTATGTGTGAGTGTGTGGAGGCGTTACTTCATGAATAATACTACGAGTTTCATATAAGTCAATCATTTCTAAAGACATATATTCACCGCCTCTATCAAAATGAAGAGTCTTAGTTTTCCTTTCTAATTGATTTTCTACCACAAATTTATACATTTCCAGTTTTTCATATAATTCATGTTCGGAGATTTATTAAATGCACAACAATATTTAGAGAATTCATCAATAAAAATAATATAATGTATTTTACCAATGAGAATTAAAGCATCATTACTATCACATACATCATTATGAATCAATGCAAGTTTCTTTTTTTCACACATGTATAGAAAGATTTTCTTGGTTGCTTTGATTGAACATGTTTTCCATTTTTGCTTCAAATCAATAGAAGATTTAGATACATCACTCTTGTAATAAAATTTAAAAGAGAAATTTCCAGTTTTATGTTTTAAACTTTGAGCACTATGAAGGAGACAACTTTAAGATCATAAGAGCCACAGAGCATTATGTTAGGTAAAATAATTTTTTAATTTCATGTCAAACAATATTTTTAAATTCATGAATCTCATAAAAATAGGTTTATTATCAACCATATGAATATCGATTATTTTTTCACAAGAATATCTAGATAAGTCTTTCTATATATCCTTATTTCAGTTCAAATGTTTCCCATAACTCAATATCGATTATTTTTTCACAAGAATATCTAGATAAGCCTTTCTATATATCCTTATTTCAGTTCAAATGTTTCCCATAACTCAATAGTAGTTTTGGTAGGATAAAATATCTTTATAAATGTTATCCAACAAACCACTTAGAATATGTCCATGACATAAAACATCATTATAAAAAACATCATGTATAGTAGTAGAAGATGTTGAAGCATAACTCAATATAATAGAAATATTAGTAGCTTTAGAAATCACAAAAAAATTATCTTAGTCATCATCCATCGTAGTCATCAATTCTTCACATTCTTTCACACTAAATTTTTCACATTTCACTTTTAACGTAAAAATGACTTATAATGTCACATATTCAATGCTAGACTAAGAAAAATGTAATATAAAAAACAACTTATGGTATTTTTGTAATTAAAATGTTAAAATTGACATCGTCCCATGTAACAAATGTCAAAGGTGAACCACTAACTATAACAATGACAACAATATTAAGAAATGGGCTTTAAATCTAACTCAACTGCACAAAACCGGCTTGTAAGATGAGGTTTGCACCTACATATAGGCTTTAATCATAGCTTTGATACCATATTAAGAAGTGGACTTTAAGCCTAACTCAACCCCACAAAACCGACTTGTAAGGTGCGATTTGCACTCATTTATACATCATAAATTTGCCTTATTTCTAGTCATGTGAGACTTCCAACAAACAAAGTGACAACAACTAAAAACTTAGGTGAGTTTTGGTTCATTTAACTCAAATACAAGTTGTTTCGTTACTTGGTTGAGATTTCATTCTTTGTCTTCGCCGATAATTTTCATGTAAAGAATGTATTTTGAAGGCTCCATGCGTTTTGTTGGTTGAATAAAAGGTTAATTTAGTTTTCATATACCTTACACTTTATCTCTTGAACGTATGTGATTTTGGTTATGTTTTCATTAAAATTTTTTTAAAGAAGTATTTTTTAGCAACATTTTTTAGTAGGTTTTTTTAGCTTTCTTTTGTTTCATTTAAATTTTTAAAATATTTATAATATCAAATTTAGTTTTATGTGAATTTTAAAATATATATTTAGATAAGAAATATTTTAGATGTTTGATTAATTATTAGGTTTATTATTAGTTTATTTTAAGATTTATTAAGATGATTGATTAAATTATATGTCTAGACGCTTTTAAGCAATTAGTATCCTCAAAGTTTATTTCTCGTGATTAAGATGTCAAATATACACGAAATTCACAAATAAATAAAAACATTAATTAATTATTTCAAAAGTCAGTAAGATTTTTAAGTCATTGTTTTACAAATAAAAGAATTACTAATTTTATCAAGAATTAATTTTTATAAAAGAAACTCAGTGCACTATATTAAAAAGAAATTTTATACACAAGCTAGTCTTTTATAATTATATTATTACCCTTATGAGTACTTACTTTATCATCAATTTATAAAATTCAAATGACAATTAACGTTTTAAGAAAGGTATTGAGAAAGATATCTTAATTTTCATCTTACAAAATTTTTTTTTCAATGAATAAGGTACTCACTCACTTACTCATCTTTTACAATCAATGATATTTTATTGATTACATTTTTCCTATTACGTACGTTTTTTTTCTTTCTCTCTTCATATCATATCATATGATCTATAAACCTATTATTTTTATTTTGTTTCTGAATGTATATTAAATATATTAAGTGTTAATATATGTCAATGTCTATAACCACATCAGCTTCTTCTTTTTGCCTGCTTCTACTGGTCAGTTTCACATACAGTGAGATCTACTGCTTGATATATAATGATAGTGGATTTGTTATAGAGCTTTTTTGGCGTGGTAGTCAGTGGCTGAACGAAAATAGGTTTGGGTATTTGAAGAGGTAGGATGCACGGGTGTATAGTATAAAATATTAACCGAGTGGTTACAAACAACCAACCGGATATTCAGGTAATCTGTTTATATCTTATTCTGTTTATATTTTATTCTTGGGCTTAATAATATCAGCTCATATCCAGGAGGTAATTATAATACAAAGCCGGGCCAAGCCCAGGCCAAAAGTCAGGTACGGTTCCACTTACGCATTATTTACTCTACGTTCATCTCAAATACTCAATATGATAATCATTCACTAAATCTTCAACCAAGAGCCGAGGCTCTTCAATCACAATCACACGCCTACCTGGGCGTCGAGTACCTTTTGCAGGTACACCTCCCTCGCAGAAGGAGACCGATCGGTTTGTCAACACCGATCGCCAATAGAGATTTGGAAGCAAGCGACGTTCAGACACATCAGCAGGTTGTCTCTCTTCCCCAAAATATCCACCTAACATTTTTGGCGCCCACCGTTGGGCCGAGGCGGCAAACCCAAATGGTGACCACGATTCGCATGGAGAATAACAACACACCAGAGATTTGATAGCGCAGATGCAGGCGCAAATACAGGCACAGGCCAGAACCATACAAGCACAAACGCACGCACAACAAGAGATGCAGCGAAGGCACGCAGAAGAAATTACAATGTTGAGAGCAGAGCGAGGTCGTGCCGAACGGTCAGCTCAACACTCGGAGTCCACAGCCGATCGGGATAACAACCAACACAATGATAACGCTGGAAGTCGCACTCAGCAGCCATCTCGGCATACTGACCCGAACGATCGGGGAAGAAGGGAACCATCCCCCTTACGAACCGATCGCCTCCAGTCTGCCCCTTTCCTGC